AATGAGGTCAGCTATTAAAATGAGGCCAACTCTTAAAATGCGGACAACTAACTTAGCACAATCAAACAACTAACCTAGCACAATTAGACAACTAACCTAGCAGCATCAGACAACTAACCTAACAACTGCAGAGACTATGCATTTTCTAATTTTTTTTCCAATTGATACATAAAAAAGAAGTTGAGAGCATTGTTATGAAAAAAAACTTCGAAAAATGAGTCTCGATTTGGGAGATATAGAGGTTTAAAAATACAAATTTTTTTTTTTCTTAAAAATGAAATTAAAGCAAGAAAAAGGCGTTTTTTGAAAATTTGGGCGGCCAAACCGCCTTCGGCGGTTTGCAGCTGCGTAGATCTCATCGAGCTACCCCAAATCAAAAAAAAAAAAAAAAAATTAGTCCAAAACGGAACTTTCTACGCAAAGTTATAGCCTCTCAAAGTTTTTCTATGTGACCTTGCAAATTTTCATCATGTAGTTGCAACTAAAAACAACTAACCTAGCACCATCAGACAACTAACCTAGCAACTAATAACATAGCACTAACCTTGCATAATCAGACAACTAACCTAGCACAATCAGACAACTAAACTAGCACCATCAGACAACTAACCTACACCATCAGAAAACTAACATAGCAACTACTAATCTAGCACAATCATACAACTAACCTAGCACCATCAGAAACTACTAACAAAAAAATGCTCTCACCTCTCTCTAGCTTTCTCTCTCTACCCCCTACTCTATCTTCTCATATCTTCCTTCTTCCTCCCCTTTTCGTCCCGACCATCCCGCCCGCCTAGCCGCCTCCGCCGTTCGCCACCGTCGGCGGGGCATGCCCTTTTAGTTATGTTTTCTTGGTTGTTTCATTATTATCCATTTTAGTTTTCGCTCAATCTTATCAGCCACGGCCATCCATGGGACCTTCGGCGACACCCTCCATCTCAGCCTCCGAGCTGGACCTTTTTCTATCTCAGTCGGATTTTCGACAGGCAATATCGACCCTTCTCAAAAAAAATAAAAACACACAAAAGGATGAAGAAGAAAGCATAGATCTGGAGCTGGACCGTTTTCTATCTCGGTCGGACTTTCGAGAGGCAATATCGGCCCTTCTCAAAAAAAATAAAAACAGACAAAAGGATGAGGAAGAAAGCAAAGATTTGGAAGAAGGGGAAATATTAGCAGTCCAAAGCGAGAAATCAGCGGCGCAATCAATTGGACCAACAACCGCGGAAAATGAAGTGTCATTTGCATTCGTGTCATATGGATCACCGTCCGAATTTGCCTTGCCTGTGAAGATGATTCCTCCATTGTCGGCTGCTGAAAATGGCGTACCTCCAGTGTTGTCTGCGGTAGGGTTTAGTGTGAATTTGCTTGAGCAGAGGGCCAATGCTTTGGACCAACAACCCAGCATCTCTCTTGGGCCCAACGTTATTCAACCGGCCCACCTCTCGAGGGCCCATTCACCCTCTCAACCTTACAACACCCTCTCACGGCCCAAGCAAACTTTTACTAACCCCCAGACCAATCAACCTCTCACGGGCCCGCAGCACATAACCAAGAACCCTTTATCCCCCAGCCTATCTGAAACCCCAAATCCTATCAACTTGGGCCACCCCCTACACAATCAGTTCAAGCCAAATCCTTCCATCTACACTCAACCCAACCCCCTCATTTCTACATTCTCACAGCCCGTCCCCCTCCATAATAACTTCCCAGCTGCCACTTTTAACACCGGCCACCTGCCCCCCACCGGCGCCAGCGCCGCCATTTCAGTTGGAGTACAGCCGGCCGGCAATCTAACCGGGGCCAACCCGGAGTTGGTCTCTAAAACCAGAATTCCCGATCCCCGACCTAACCAACTTAACCCCACTTCTTCAACCGATCTCCTACACGGAGCAGTCACTTATATCGCGGAAATATCGGACCTAGAAGTTTGATACGTTCGAGAAGATGGAGTGGTTATGACCCCGAACACAGTGTTCTCATCTTCCCGATCCGTCACTGATAGGGACACCATTGACGGGCAGCCCAACGACCAATCCCGCGACAGCCGGGTCCCATCCGGTCACATCCACAGGCACACTCTTCTTCCGGGAGGCTATTACGGGAAGGAGAGACGGCGGCCCAGGTGTCCCGCAACCGACACCCAAGGAGTTCATCTTAGACGGGGATTATGACCATGCTTGCAGGCACATCATCCGCTCGGAGGGAAACAAGGTGAAGGTTCGATTCTCGCAGGTCGAAGCTGACACCCTTGCCGGTAAGTTAGCTAACACCTTGGTATTTAAGTTCTCTTATGCCATCCCTCCCCCCATGATATATCTGCTGGACTAGGTAAACTGGGGTTTAAGGGTAGATTTTCATTTAAGTGGTATAATTTCAACCATCTCCTTGTCTCCTTCCACCTCTCTGAGGATTATAATGAGGCTTGGCTTAAGACCTCTATCTCTGTGTGTGGATGCACAGCTAGGGTGTTCAAATACACTTTCGGGTTTAACCCGAAAATGGAGACGCTTGTCGTCCCCGTGTAGTGCCGCCTCCCCGGCCTTCCACCATACCTTTATCGCCGGGATTCCATCACCACACTTGCAAAGTGTGTCGGAAAACCGGTCCGCATTGATTCCCCGACAGCCCTCCAGTCGAGGGCTAATGTGGCTCGGTTCTATGTTGAGATTGATCTCAGGGTTGAGCCCGTCCATGAGATTGAGATTAAGCAGGGTTCGGAGACCTTTGCTCAGCGGGTGATCTATGAGAAGATCCCCGCGTTCTGTACCTCATGCAGCTATGTGGGGCATATAGCGGCTGATTGCTACATTAGTGGCAACAAGCCACGACCCACTCCGCCTCAGCGTCAGCGTGCGGCTCAGCCGGGACCCTCCAATGGCCGGAGGGACCCGAAGGGAAAGGGCAAAGGCCCTCTCCATGCGCCCGGATCCCCAAAGGGGGTCAAGGATAAGGGCAAGGCTGTGATGGTCGCCACTGCCCAAACTGGAAAGGATGCTCATCCTAACCAGCCTAAGCAAATGGCTTCAGTAGGGCCCAAGGCCAAGGCCTCGGGCTTCATCCCCAGAGACACCTTACAGTCGGCCTTTAAGGCCAATCACTTGTTCTTTGTTGTCCTCTCCCCGGAGGCAGAGGATGAGACTAAGCCCTCTACTAGAGATCCCCATAGGTTTTTAGACCTCCCCATTTTAGATGATGATGACCTTCTTTGCTGAGGATCTGGAGCAGCCGGCCACCTCGCTCAGTGGCACGGCCATTCATTTATTTGATGACAGCATTTGTGACGCTGCTCCCTTGTCTGTCCATTCATCTAGCCAGGACCGCTCCCTGGAGATGAGGACAGCTCCCATCACCGATCCCCCGAAAGGGGATGAGCCGGCTCATCTCTCCCCTGCTAGGATTGGGAGCTCGATCGAGCATATAACTAGTGTCCAGCCACACTTTGTTGGCGAGCATCCGAGTGCTCTGTCGGTTGGAGTCTCTCTTCCTTCCCTTCCTGAACAAACATGCGGTCTTAACCGCGCTCAGCATGACGTCTCGTGCGAGAGTTTCGCCTCTAGTGCATTCGTCCACTTTGACAGACAAGAGACGATCCCGGAGATGG